CTCTCTCTCTCTCTCTCTCTCTCTCTCTCTCTCTCTCTCTCTCTCTCACACACACACACACACACACACACGCTTTTCTCTACTAAAGACTTCAGCACGTAGAGAGGGCGCCATTCTGTGGGATCAGGGAAGGCTCGAGGGAGGGTGTGGCACGGGAGGGAGTTGTGTCTTAAGCGTCGGGTGGAATTTAGACGAGTGTGGGTTGGAAAGGGGAGCCAGGTGGAAGGACGGGGCGCTCAAAGGTGCAGAGACTGGCCGCAGAAGAAGAGCTGGGAGTGGTGGAGCTCGGGAGAGAATTTCGAGTGGGCTGTAAGGAGGGGAAGAGAGACGCCAGGAGAAGGGGTGAGATGCCGCGGAGAGAATTGGAGGGTGGGCGAAAGAGGGTCAAGGTGGGAACTTTAGACCCACCCATTTAGGGGAGGTAGGGGAAGAGGAACCAGAGAAAGAAAGAGTGGTCGGGAAGGAGAGGACAGAAGGATGGGGAGAGGAGGAAGTGGCCAGTGAAATGGGTGTTGTAGGCAGTGGTTTCTCACAGCCTGAGCCTCCACAAACAGCAGCAGCAGCAACTTGGGAAATTGTTAGAAACGCAGATGCTGGGACCTCCGACCTCAGACCTACTGCATTGGAAACGCCAAGGGGGCAGAGTCTTAACATGTTGTAACAGGGCCTCCTGGTTGCAAACCCCTGCTTATAAGGATGCTACTGAGAAGGCTGACCCGGAAGAAAGCAATCTCGGTAGAATAGTGAAGTCCTAAGTCAGATTCAAAACAGTCGGTGACATGGCCTTTACTTACAGCCAGTGATTTATATGTGCTCATGTTGAAAGCATGCATTGCAGCATCGTTTACAAGATGAAAAGGCTAGAAACAGCCTCATGGTAAAGACATGGTTATTCCATAATCATGGTTCTTTTAAAAAAGAAAAAGAAAAAACTGTCTTCAAAATATCTTGTCAAGTGGAAAAAGCAGGCTGCAGAACTGTGTGTTTACTGTGCTACCATTTGTACAGAAAAGAAAAGGATATGAATTTGCATAGCTTGTTTCTAGAAGGAAGCACAAGAAAGCGTGAAGGATACTCAAGAAGCTGTTGGTTGGGGAACAATGCTGGCGGGGGAGGGGGTGTGGTTTCCATGTTTGCCCTTTTGAACTTTGTGCTAGATTCAGATATTACAAGCTCAAAACAAGTTTTAAGTATTAAACATGAACAGAAAAAGGTTTAAAATAATAACAAATGATCAGACATTTGAGTGAGTGTCTCTTTCAGTCTCTGCGTAAATTCTTCCTCCCACTGAGAGCTCATTATTTATGAAACAGGCCAACCCATTGTTACACAATGTCCAATATTTTCCTTGTCCTGAGGTGCTGTTTCACAAGACCTGTTCAGGTGACAGAGCTGAGTGGCAGAGACTGGCCATTGGCAGAGCAATGAAGGTTCTGCCCGAGAGAGTTCGCCCTTGTTCTCTCCCCACCAAAGCCTATGACTCTCCCCCTTGAAAGTGTCCCACAGAGATAGATTTTATGTTTTAAAAATCAATTCACCGGGCTTCCCTGGTGGCGCAGTGGTTGAGAGTCCGCCTGCCAATGCAGGGGACACGGGTTCGTGCCCCGGTCCGGGAAGATCCCACATGCTGCAGAGCGGCTGGGCCCGTGAGCCATGGCCGCTGAGCCTGCGCGTCCAGAGTCTGTGCTCCGCAACGGGAGAGGCCACAACAGTGAGAGACCTGCGTACCGCAAAAAAAACAAAAAAAAAACAAAAACCAATTCACCTTTATAAGATATCTCTCTATTCGAG